AAATTTTAAAATTTCGATTCCTAGTTTTGATACCCAGTTCACTGACAGGAAGAGTTAGCCTCCAAACAAAATCTGCAGGTGTGCCACCAAAACGCAGTCGGAGAAGAATATGCGAGGAAATTTTCCTTGTTTCAAGAAATCTTACCGAGTGCAATTGTCTCATTCAGCAGATTATTGCACTTTGAATCATCTCAAACCAAATGAAATAATCTGCCAGGGTAGGAGGACAACTCACAGGGGGACCCTGTGAAAAGTAAATTTATAACGTTTATGTTCAAGTTCATAGGTTTGATATTTATACAGTGGTGAGGAATTCTTACAGAAGTTCATAAAAAGTAAATATTTAATCTAATTAAAATTCCTAGAGAAGGTAAGACTATTTCATCCASAAAGAACTCTGGTTTGTGACCTCATTTGAACCATGTAAGCTCTTTTGACCCTGCCTCTAAAAAGAATCAGAATCGGGAATCGTTAAAAACTGGAAGTGAAATGAGGAATCTTTACTTTCTTTATCCGAACTGAAGATCAAACCCAGGACCTTCTTGCTGTGAGGCGTCAGTGCTAACCACTGAACCATCATGCTGCCAATTGCTGTGAGGCATTAGTTTTAACCACTGCTGCCAATTAATGCGGATTAATAGAGAGGTTTAAGATTTTGTGGCGCAGAAACTTTTTATTTAAAAAATAATTAAAGATGTCAACAAAGGACAATTTGTCCATTCAGACTTCCATGTTGGAACCAAAGTCTGACCCAGAGCCAGAGGAGAACGAAGATGACAAAATTGTAGATGGTAAGTTTATGGCTTATTTAGGCAGTTCCGTTATAAATACTACGATGCTATGGTTCAGAGAGTATCGTGGAAAATAGAGAAAACTGAATAGATTGAAAAATATGACCCAAACAGAACATAAAGAAATTTACGCAGCACTATGAGAAACTAAATTCAACTTTCCTGCACTCATAAAGACTCCAAGTACACAAAAAAGGCACAAATAAATAAAAAGTGGCTTTCTTTTTATGCAGGTTTTGTTCTACAAAAAACAAAAAAGAATGCCTTGATATGTCCCCTTTAAGGCAACTGTTATATATATATATATTTGTAATAATATAAGAATATAAGAAAATCTCTGCAGCAACCACTTACTCTTGGCGCGGTGTGGAATGGGCACAGCTACATTCTTGCCACGYTCGTAGTCTTGGGGTTTGGGTGGTGAGGCAGTGAAACGGCAGATCCCAGGCTCCGATGGTGTGCTCATAGACGTCATGCTGTCCGCATTGTCATTGGTGCCTGTGGTCATCTGATCAGACGAGCTGTCAGAGATAAAGCACTCTGTAATCTCAAATTTGGCGTGTTGCAGGTGTTCCTCCAGCTTGGCGTGCTCATACGCTCTCGCCAATTCCTCGTAGGTGGAGGAGGCGCTCTCCGTGGACACCATACTGTTGCGGCCCTTATCTGTGAAAGCAAAAYGGTGAGAACATTTTGTCCAAACGTATAAACACCCCAGAGATCAAAACTGAAGGGACATTTTTGTTGTCACTCCTCCACATGGTTGCAGTGTATGGTATGTGGCTGTAAGTGCCATTTTACCCTCGTGCTAACCTGTGTCCTGTGAGAGGCTGGCACTGTAGCTGTCACTTTCGGTGACAGTGATGCCATGCTGGGAGCCAACTGTGCGCCAGTCTGAAGTGAGAGTGCGGGCTGGCGTGGAAGCCTGACACTTGGTCAGAGTCCACTGACTGGAGTATCGGTTCCTGATGCTGTGGGCTGACTTCACACTTTTTCTCGACACGGGGTCTGGTGGTAAACGGAAGAAGAATTAAAAGGAATGTGTATTTGGGTAGTGGGTGTTTATGGCCAAGAAAGAAATGGACCTACATAAAAAGTTTCACACAAAACCTTTTCTTTTCTTTTCTTTTCTTTTCTTTTCTTTTCTTTTCTTTTCTTTTCT